CGGGAAACGGGACCCTCCTGCAGGCCTCTCTGGGGCTCTTCGAGAGGGAGGTAAGGGGCAGGAAGGAAGGGAGAGGCTAAAAATTAAAAAAATGCTGCGAACACCAAGCAACTTTATTATAGTAGATCAAGACAAGACAAGACAAGATTCATCTTGTTGAAAGTGTGCGGAAAGCGAATGTGCTGTGCTTCATTGGAATGCCGACGAGTTTGTGTTGGATTTCGATTAGATCAGAATTCGTTCCGGATTCTTCCAGCAGAAATTGAGAAGGTGTATATACCGATTAAATTCGAAGTTTCAACGGATTTAGTGCTTCGCGTTTGTTCCGCGTGCGTGTAATAGTGGATATTCTTGATTAGCCTTCGGAACTACAGTACATATATGTTTCTTGCCGCGTGTATATATTGATTAAAATGTAAATACTATCCCGTCTGTCTCACATTGAGGTGAGGGTTCCATGCATGCAGTCATGGTGAGAAGGGTGCCTGGAATTTGAAAGGAGAGGAGCCATTGCGTATGTGGGACTCAGCTGGGATTTAGCGGTTTTCTGAATCTTGTATTGCTTCCTTCAGTTCCTTGCAATTGAATTTTCTAAGAAAAAACAAAATGTATTTCACATTTTTTGTTCGTTGAAATACTGTATGCCGACTAGTATATAAGACCTCGATAACGTATATGACGCCAATTTTTTTTTTCGCAATGTTCGATACTTCCCTGCTTTTATATACCCCACCCGGTGAAAATCTTTGGTTTACACGTAATGGCAGAATATTGAGTGTCGGATTTTCTGATCGATCTATTGAGGGTAATGTATTACTGTATATGAGCTGTGAAGTGGCAATTTCACGGGATATTGGCGTTTACTGTGGTAATTCGTCGTTCTTCGAACGTTGGATCCGCTGTCAGTGATGAAATTTTCCAAATGAAAGTCAAGTACTGGTCCATATTCGAGCGATCTCTCGCGTGAGAATCAAATTACGTACCCCAAAAGAAATCGCAGGAAAAATCAGTTCTTCCCCTGTAACTGACAAGATTAAGTACTGTATTGTGCATTCTTGACATGGTGAGTTTTCTGTGTGGAGAAGAAGAATTCTTTCCGCCGGTCAGCTACTGCATGTTCGTATGTTGATAACTTATCTCTCCTTTCTACCTCGTTTCGGGACAGGTGAAAATATCATTTTCTGGAACCTATTTAACAAACCAAGTTGACATCACGCAGTTTTCTGTAAATCTTGGCAAGACTATAGACATGTGGAGTGGGCCGAAAATGAACTGATACTGAATTTAATTCGTTCTGAGTTGTTCATCTCGTTATGACATTTATGAAAAATAACTTCAAGGAATTTATGCGCATTGAATTGTTTTCGATTGGTTCTCGTCTATACAATTTTCGTGCAACACAACGTGAGTCCAATTTGCATTCGAATTTAATGGTACAGTCTCGCTTGCAATTGAATGCGCATTTTAAGATTATAATAGTCAACGAAAAGTTCGTGTATAGATGAAGACTGCCCTATTATATAGACATGTTGAAAATTTTACAAGTACATGTACATGTTGAGATGTTGTCTCTCGGCGACAGTGACAATCCGGGGACCAGGGAACCTAGCACTTCTATTGTTATAGACTCCGCTGGAGAAAATTTGACTGAAAAATCGTTTCAGAAAAATCGATGTGGAGGAATTAATATCTGTAATTAATGGTATCTCATTATTATTACTTCAAACGATCAGACCACGTAATCAATGCCCAATTGCCCGTTGAATCTTCGAAACCTGGATTATAATAGACGTCAGAAAAAGTGAATGACAGAGTAAGAATTCGGTGTTTTTCAAGTCATAAAATGAAAGTTTCAGTAAATCCAGCCCCTGCATGGAAGATGAGTTCTATTTTGAAATCACAGACAACTGAATCAGTGAAATTGATGTGGTTTTAGAATTCTGGTGAAATATATATTTTTTTACATATGGATGACGTTTGTCTAATTCACGCGTGAATGTAAATATTGTATTCTAACTTTCTTCTCACGAACCAAGCAATACAAATTTTTATAAAATAGTGGTCGTGCTTTTCATCGGGTGCGTGCGAGAAGGGTGGTTCCTATGTAATTAAATCTTGTCAAAGGCATTTTTGAAGAAATACGCGAACAGTGTTCAAGTACATTTCCATTGATTTTCTTGAAAATGTAAAAGGAATCAAAAAATCATGAACCGTAGATATGGTTGGGTGAGTGTTCCTGAGAATTTCCCGTTTTCTTGTTTTTCGTTTAAATGAAACCCGAGTGATTCTCGTCCTTAATGCTCATACGAAGTTGCGAAAGAATTACGTTTTCAGCCCGGTTTTCATTCATTCCAGGAAGTGATGCAAAGAAGCTTCGATTCCTTATCGGAAGTGATCTGAATTGGGCAATACATTCCATTTTCGATTTTTTGCTGTCAATCATGTCTCAAGTTGGACAAAGCGGAGTCGTCTCACGAAGTTCATCTGATGTCGGGGCAATAATGGTGGAAGGAAGACCTAGCAGTATTGGAAATTCAACCGAAGTTACGAGCATTGCGGGCAAAATCATTCATCGTTCAATAAGAACGCCAATGATGCTGGGGCCATCATCATCATCGAGTTCAGCCAGAATTTTGTCAGGAAACGCGCAAATAATACGAGGTATTCCACTACTTCCATCATCACTGGCGAGCTGCGGAACGAATGTTACGCTGGACAACAAAATTGACTCAAACAAAGCCGCTTCGAAAGTTCTAAGTGTAGCTTTGGCTGTAGCGAAAGGTGACGCGGCTCTTAATGCAGAAAATCGCTGTGTTGCTTTGAAAGCCTTTGAGGATGTTCTCGAAGTTTGTGTCGACTCGTTGAGCTACTTCATTTCATTTTTGAAAAAGGAAGCTCATATTGATCCCTCTGAGACTGAGAAGCTTAAGAAGCTTACGAAAGAGTTGAATCTACTCGTTTTCGAGTCACCCGACTCACTCGTTCACGACTGGAAGAATCTGCGACCCTCTCAGGATAGAATCCTGGGGGTTCTGTTCCCGGAGCGTTCAACAACAGTCGCCCCAAGCAATGAACTCCTATTCAAAAACATCTTCAAGAGATTCGACAATGAGAACGACATCTATGAGCGTGAGCTTGAGAGGTATGGTCAGGGATCACCTTTGGTGGGGTACGATGAAACACCAATGAAGTATATCCGACACTATGAAAAATTGTTGAAGGCGATGGGATTTGTGAAATACTCGGGGGAATCCGCTACGGACCTTTACTTTGAAAGAGTTTGGTCTCGTTTCAGGCCCATTCACGAAGCCCCAAAGGACCAAATCACTCCCGAAGACCGCATCAGTCTCTTCATGTTGCACTTGGATGGGAAAGTGTACAGGAAGGTGGATGCCTATATCAGGGATTACTCTGAAGACAATTACATCCGGATGGTCAGAATTATGTTAGAAGACCATGGACATTTGTGGAGAATTCGGCAGACGGTTTTCAAAGACTTGAAGAACCTTCCTCCTCCCAGCAATCAAGTCAGTGATGCTACACATGCCAGAGAATATTATCTGAGAGAGTTGCTTCAACTGCTAAGAAGGCTCAAGTATCTGAAAACGGACATGCATGTAGTGCACAAGTGCATTTGGCCCAGGGTGAAATCGAATCTCAGGCATGAAACTCTGGATTTTATTATCCAAATGGAGCTTCAAAAGGTGTTCTCTGCCGAACATGTACATTGGGAGAAAAATCCTGTGGAATTTTACCAGTCGATTTATGAAACCTTGAGGTATGAGTAGTCCTTGTTTTTCTGAGGCCTGGGGCAGTTATGGTGTGTGTGGGCCCCCCAAAAAAATATGAACCCCCCACCCAAATAAATTCATACGCCTGCCAATTCTTGAACAGCTTTTTAAAAATTCAATAATCAAGAGACTTGGAATACAAGCTTGGCTTAAAATTTTCTAATGTTTCCAACACATTGTGTTTCCGGTTAAACTTTATGTAGATAAAGACTTTAGTGTGGTTGGCTAAAAAATCTAATTTAACTTACTGAAAACATTACCTTTCCTCAAAGTAGGAAGACAATTTTCTGCATACTCTGCCAGAATCACATTATCCAAAATTGCTCTTACACTGAATTTGCTGTTTGGAAAAATTATGTATGAACAGATATTCTTGGATTGAATTACAAATAATAAGCAAGTTTTGATCATCTGTAAAAAAAATTTGTCTTGATATTGGATTAATTTTTCAAATCTTGCTTGGAAAAGTCTTCTATTTTTTGCTGGATTGATGGAAAATTAAATTTTTCTGAAAATTTGACAAACTGTCAAAATTGAAATTTTTTTGGGTAAATTGAGCAGCTTAGAAAATAAATTATGGAATTTTCTTGTGTGCTTATGATGAGCAAAGAAAATTTTTTATAAATCCTAGAGGTAATTTTGAGGAAAGTTGTTGCATATTTGGGATGCCATGACAATGGAAGAGTTGGGTGAGAAAGATAGGGGTAGGGAATGAAACCATAGTTTTGTTTCACAGGCTCATCAAAGACAATAGAAGAGGGTTTGTGCATGTGGGGAAAGTTTTGGATCCATGATCAAAAGCTGTTATTTTTTTATAATTGGCAGCATGCTGGTTACTCTTGATGCTAAGAGTATGAACAATGAGGTCCTGTGGAGAAAGTTTGATTTGTTTTTGGTGAAGCTTTGCTTGTTTGTTTTTTTCTTGTGGAGGCCCTGGCCTCTGTTGTTTGCCTGGCACGGATTATGTGCTTTCTTGTCTTCAATCAACATTCCTTCTCACCTGGACCAGCATCTCAAGCAGAATGGAGGACAGAGAATCTTCCCTGATTGTGGCATGCAGCAGCAGAAGAGGACCTTATCAAGTTCTTTGTTGATGGAGCTTATACCAATATGTTCACTGCTTCATACCATAGCACTGACCGCAAGCACTGGGCTTTTGAAAATGACTTCCAGCTCATGTTGGGGTGTAACATTTTGTTCATGGTCAGCCAGCACAAACAGTCCATTTGAACAAGTTCTGAATGCTGGTAGGATGATTCCTTTCTTTTCCTGATACTGCTAGATCATGCTTGCAGTTTTATGGGTATCTGATTTCTAGCATCCGCCTGCATGCTGACAAGATCATAATTCTGATGTTGGCACCAGCTGCTCAAATAATATGGAGGCATATTATTTGTCTTTTGATGGCACTCTTCTTGCATGCAATTCCTTTTTGGGCAAGAGCTTTGGCATACAGTTCTATGAGAAGCTGCTGTGGAATGGGAGCAAGGGTTTGGAGAAGCTTATACTGTACTATGATTTATACCTTTAGCTGCAGAATTGGCAAGAACTGATGCAGGTTAGGTTATTTTTGCCCTTTTTCTGCATTCTTGATTGCTGACCTGTGAAAATATATGATTTTACTAAATCTAGTGCTGGACAAGAAGGTGTGGAAAGCATTCATCCGATGGTGTGACAGAAGAATTGATCAAGTTGCTGGGCTGTCAACTATTTTTCATCTGAACGTAGGGAGCAGAGCGTCTCCTGCTATCAGGAGACGTCATATCTGAAAGCTGCTGTGAAGTGCTACTTTGTGTACAAATATTCTCTTCAGTTTGTTTGGGGGTCAAATAATCGTTTTCATCCCAAGCGGGTAATGTGTGATGTATACTGGCAAAATTGAATCAAGATTCAGAGTTGAAATTTGGGGTTTTTTGTTGCTGGGTTTTGTGTATATGGACGCTGAGTGTGGACATTTATAGGACGAAATAATCCCTGCGTTTTGATTAGTTTGTTGGGGAAGGGTTTCTTTTTCTGTAAAAAACGAAAGAGCCAACTTATACAAATGATGGTCTGAAAAATAGAGATGGGTTTTCCATAAATGGCATGAATATTCGAAGTCTCAAAAAAGTGATGGATTTTCCTGTTCCTGGTTTTGTTGCAGGCTATATTTTACCTTGTTTTGTTGGATTGAATGTCAGCTGAACAACCCTTTTGGCCTGGGTTGCATTAAAAAAATAAATATAGATATATATATACATACTGCAATCCAGCAGACAGCTGATCATTTCTCTACCTTTTTGAGGGGATGAAGCTTATTTTTTCAATGTAGAGCTAAGTGTAGAGGGAGTAAATATGAATAATTTTTTTCTGAATCCCTCAAGAGTTTTATGATATGATTGGATTTCGTGGAATGTTTCTCAAGACATTTCTTTATGCATGGACCTTCAAAAGCAGCAAATAAACAGATTAAAATTTAATTGTTGCGTCAGTATAGTACATATGACATGTTCAGCGTGTATCTTTCACCATGCTTCGCTTGCTGTGTTATTTATAGAATACAAGTTTTCAAAACTAATGACAGCCGATGGGAATCCAGCAGTGTCAGTTAGTTGTCCAATCACAGCTGGTTCGTCCATCCCACATGCGCAGGATTGGTTACAGAACATGTCAAGGAGGTGCTGCCCACTCTTGGAGCCATTTGGCACACGACGTCATCCCCTTCACATGAAACTGAAACCCAGTTAAAGGGGGGGGGGGATTTCCAGATGTCTGTAAGAGCAATGAAACCATTTGTGAGGGGGACTTGTTTTTCTCGTTTCAACTCTGGGGCCCATTTGGTCTTTTTTCTATCTTCCTCGGGGTTTTGTGAACTTAGGATGAGTTATTGGTCACAGGAGGGTTGGAAAATTGCATTGGATACTGATGTTACACGAAAGTACCGTGCTTACAGTATTTTGAAACGTTTTATTTTTAAATATGATGCTGTAATAATATACTGTGTTTTGATACATATCCTCCTGAAAATTACAGTATTCTCATATTTCCCAATGCCCGGTGTTTTTTTCGAAATCAACTTCAGTATTATATAAAGATGAGAACTCCGTATGAAAGATTTGTGGAGAATGAAAGGGAATATAGAATTGAAATGGCCTATTGACAGAGTTTTTATTGTGCAGAATTAGGTAAATGAAGTCAGGGGTTCTATAAGGAACCCGAACTGGAAAGTTATTATACCATGACTAATATACTGCAGTCCAATATTAAAGTGTTCAATTGTCATGACAAAAAACTGCGAACTTCAGCAGTTCATAATGTTTTGTCAGTTCCCATGCGAAAGAGAAATGCCACGAGAATAAGCGTCAATTAACCCGCAAACAATGTGAATAATATATAATATGCTGAATCTTACGTCAGTTATGTATTCTACCTGCTGCTTTATGCGCGCGCTAAACTTATCACAGTAGTATTAACAATGTAACTATTCCTTTATTACTATACAAGTATACACTATAAGCTACAGTATCAATTTTTTTTGCCGGGTTTGTGATTCGTCTGAAGTGATGGTACTGTATATTCGAACATGTGCGCTGATTCGCTGAACTCATGTGATGAGAATTGGGATGGGAAAGGGGTTGGCCCGTACTGTGAGACCTGACTTATATCGTCAAAGCTGGTGGATGTTGAACGTGCTGGCACACATTTCCATATGCATTCTTCTTGAACCTCTTTGGCAGATTCAATACGTTGACGCAGTTTCCAACTACAGTAATGACTTCAGCGCATATATATCATGTGAACACCAGCACAGGACCGACTCGAATTACTTCCTCAGGCAGAAGTGGCGACGAGATTTTGAAACAGGAACCAGCATTTCAACAGCCCTGAACCCCTCCCCTGAGAAGGGTTTATTTGCTGTGCAACTGACAGTTGCCACGCAGATTTGGCGGGAAGCGGATGTCCTGGCCAAAATAATGGGTGCCCTTTTCCGGAATTCGGGACCAATCCTCCTTCACGTACACTGTACACACATGTACGTGTGTATCGAGGATAAGATGAGAGACGAGCTCCTTTTTTTCACGGTGACTCGGTTTTTTCCATTTGCCCATCGCGTATGTACGTCAAAGCAATAATCTGCCTCGTGTGCGTCCGAAAATCGTAGGTCCGAAAAATTGAGTTATATTTCTTTCTCTATCCAGGATACATAAACTGATGAAGTAGAGTTGTTGAATGGAAATTCCCGGTGTTTCGTGTGATTTTGCGTAGACCTTGTATCATATCAGTGTCGGAAGGCAATAGAATTTGAGACATGTTCTGAACATTTTTGTCGTATGACGGAAACAGCAGTTATATGAATCGATAATGTTCGTCATTTCCCGATGTTGCGTTTCGCGACGCGAGAGTGACTTTCTCCAAACCAATTAATGAAATTTCCGCTGAATGTCTCAATGCTTAGCCTGGAACGATTCCCGGTTTTAGTTGATTTTAATACCGCTCAATTCGCTTTTTTTTTTCTTGGCAGGAAAGAAAGGAAAGTTAATGCCGACCGTCGATTTTCTGACCAGAATAATTGATCAGAGGCAGCGTTTTCTCAGTGTGCATCATGCCTCCAGTGAAAAGAATGAATGACACTCCAGGGTCTCTTGCAAGCATACAGACAAACCGGAAATGCGCGAAAACGGAAACAGACGCGTTCGGTGATCTCAGCAGTGAATCAGCGCTGGGGTCGGGAATAGGTTCAGCCGTCGTTTCGACAGAGAGGACTAAATGTGGACCAACCCAACCTTGTCTTCAAATCAAAGGATCAATTTCAACTGCAGCAAATGTCACCAGCTGTATGGCTGAAAGGACAGCGAAAAAAGCAAGGTCCTATGAAACTGTTTCTAACGTTCTAGCCGTTGCGATGGCTGTCGCTAAAGGCGACGCAGCTCTGAAGGAAAGTGAACAAGTGGCATTGAAAGCCTTCGCGAAAGTTCTCGAGATTTTTGTCGACTCCTTGAGCTACTTCATTCCGATGAAAAAGGATGCCTTGAATCCAACTGAGGCAGAGCAGGTCGAGAAGCTGACGAAAGAGTTGAATCTCATCGTCTTCCTGTCTCCAGAGGAACTCGTTCACGAGTGGACAAACCTGCGACCATCTCAGAGAGCTATCCTTGGAGTATCGTTTCCGGAAGGTCCAAGAAATGCTCCGTCGACTGCACTCCCATTTGACTACTTGTTCAATATGGAGGGAAAAGACGTTTACGAATCCGAGATTGAAAAATACGGAAAAGGAGCTCCTCTCCAAGCGAACATCGGAGAGTTTGTTTTGAAGTATGAACAAAATTTCAAAAGTCACTTTCCTGAAAAATTCACCGGGGAATCGGACAGATATTTCGAAGATGTTTGGGTGTTCTTCAGGCCTGTTCATGAAGCGCCCAAAGATCTACTCACTCCCGGGGACCGAATTTCACTGTTTTTCTTACATCTCGACGGCAAAGCTCGCAAGAAGATGTCCTTTTTTCTGACCCGGAATACTGACGGAGACTACATTGGAATGATACGCCTGATGTTCGCTGAACATGGAAAAATCGGTCTGAATAGAAGACAGATTTTCCGTGATCTTGAAAACCTTCCACCTCCGGATGCTGGTGACTACCGAGCGGCAGAAAAATACATGAATAAGGTATTCTCGATGGTAATACGCTTGACGAACCTGAAAACTGACATGGAAGTCGCGCACAAACGCATTTGGCCCAAAGTGAAATCAAGTCTGTCGGAGTATCACATCCTGCTGGATGCTAAGTTGAAATCCCAGTGTGATGTGGTAACTCCAGAGGGAAAGAAAATTCGTGAGAACAGGGTTGAGGAATTTTATGAGCGTATTTTCTGGATTATGTTCAGGAAGGCCTATCCTGGAAATAACTGACGGAACATGAAAATCCCCGGCATGCAGATCTGCTGGCGCACAAACACACAGCATTTAACCATCCAAGAGTGCAGCTGTTCTATGCCGAAACAGTGTTCGCGAACTGTCTTCCTTGATTGATGGGAGTGCTGTGAAGTATCCTATTGTATGTATATATGTCTTGCCACTGGTTTCTCAATTTTTATGCCTGTATTAATTTATTATTCGGAATACGATGTCTAAGTTTGAACGTTTATAACAGCTGAACATCTTTTATGGTAATACTGGAGTTGTATGGAGAGGCGGGAAGCCATGTGCTTAACTAACAGGTACTAGAAGGCAGCAATTGTTGGTTTTTGGCAAAGAGTGTATTCCTGTGGATTGAGGTCATGAAACTCCTGCTATACATCTGTTCATACTCATAAAAGTTGCTATGTGTTCTGTATCATGGTCAGTGTAGAGTTGTTCTGAATAATTTTTCTGTCTTGGTTGTGTGCGGATAAATGATTTTTAACAATATGCAAATACAATATTTGTCCAATTCTAAACCCCGTTTTTCATTTTTCTTCATAAAGGCGGAATCTATAACACAGAATATGTTATGCCTCGTGAGTCGCAACAGTGCTAATATGATCCCAGAAAGGTAATTCCGTGCTTGTATGCATGGTATATAACACGATCAAATTTACTACGTATTCTAAGACGAATATATGAAGAAAATTTTCATGGGTTCAAATTTTTCATCCATAAAAATCATGGAGTTTGTGAATTCTGTCAAGTTATGAAGTCTCGAATACGTAGTCTTTTTCCATCAGGCAAATCATTAAACTCCGAGTGATTCTTTCTTGTAAATCCGCATAGGAGCGCCAGAAATGGGATTCCAGACATTTTTTTATTCCCTACAGTTTGCATGCCATTTACAAGAACAGAAGAACTATCCAGAATTGGTCATCTCCATCAATGCTGTTCGCAGAAATGATTGCACACAATGATTTCTTCCAGCCCAATAGACAAACGACAAACAAAATCTTTTAGGAATTTATAATTTTTCTACAAAACATTTTCTAATATGTTGTACGCTGTGGTAATTAACTGATCCCAATCTTTACTTGGAAAAATTTCCTCTCAGCATACTGTATTTATGATGGCATGAAATTGGAAATTTTTTCTCTGAAGAATTTACGAATTGTGTATCCCGCAAAGAAATTGTTAAATCCAAGTGATTATAAAATTTTGAAAACGAGGCTGATCATCCTGCATGAATAATAAATTGCTGCCTTTCTTGAGGAAATTGGAGAGCATGCCTACAGACGTCAGTGACCCT